TCCAAAAGCCACCCGAACCAGAGCAAAGTTTTGAGGTGCGTCAACACATCGATCATTCATCGCTTCGACTCAACGTCCTACACCATCAGGAGCTACGTGTACAGGACTACCTCAAAGCTTACACAACCACCGGTCGACCACCAGCGCCAGTCCCCGATCAACCACCCACCACAAATGCTAGACATGCACTCGGCTTACCACCACTATTTTCTCCCATTCCAATAGAATCGACCCCGAGCATGAGTACTGTAGGCGTTACGGCCGAAAAGGCCATAACAAGCCCCAGTGATCTGCCTACCATACAAGTATTTCAGACGACCAAAACGCCGATCGACGGGCAGTTCCAGAGCATTACAGCGCAAACTACGTTTAGTTTGTTCTCCTATGAGGTATGTAGCTATGCTATCGCGCACCCGCGGCCTATTTTTTCTTCAGTACTGCAGCCACCGACTCAGGATTATTGACGACCGCCTATCGAATCCAGGAATTGCGGCTTTATGCATATCTTTCAGGCAACATCATGCCTCCAACCCCACTTCCATCAGATATACTCCCTTCGGACAGCGTGTCCACACAAGTACAAGTGCTACATCCGTTTTATGCCAGTGATTCAGCAGCAACCGCGTTCACGAGCGTCAACCTTACTGGTGCTCCAGAATCCTACATGAGCATCTCGACGTCTTCCAAATTCGACAAACATTCTTTCGAGGTATATCTCCCTGTTTCTGACGTCTTCTGTGCGAGTGCTCTCATCTCGGATTTATGTACTTTAGGAACTACGGCTAGCGTATCTCCTTGCTGGCAAGGAGCTTACCTCAATCGAGATCCCGACACGTGGATTGCTAACGGCACCGGCACCGGCTGCCCCACCCCTTTTTGGACGCCCGCGTGGCGACACGCTCTCGATAGTGAATCCCGTACATTCTTTTTGAACTTATCTGTCGTCTTGTACCACCTACCGTATACCATCATCGCTTCGTACTTGTACCGCAGAATGTTGTTGTTCTGGTAATGTCATAGGGAGATCGAGAAGTTTAATGTACACACTATGTATTCGAGTCAAGTTGGGGGGTCTTTGGGGTGTACTAATTCATAATCAACTTCTCTGGTTATACACTGGATATTGGTTGCGTTCGCAACGAAGGCAAATGCTCGAGGTCGTTTGTCGAATGATGCAGATCACAAATACACTATTGAAATCACAAGATAATACATGGGTCGACACCGAAGCTTGCGTGGCGCCATCTACAGTTACAGAACGAACGTTCATGCGCTACGAAGTCTGCATGCCCGGGGGATATCTACAGTCGTATAATATTGTGAGAACTTTTTCATGCGCTACAACATTAGTATGCATGCCCAAGCCTCCTCCCACTCAAAGGGAATACCAAACTCGATGGGAGAAACCCCCGATTGAGCACGAACATCAACTGACGAGGAATGCCGTTGCTCACTCTCAGTGTAGTGGGTACCCAATGGCCCAAGAGCACGGATGTGGACAACGTCACCGGCTCAGCGACCCAGTTCTCCTGGCTAATACGCCGTATCCACGTAGTACCCTCGAATATGTCACACGGGGCGAGCTGTGGTCCACGTATGAGATAATAATTACTAGTAAGTTCGATCGTTTGCTTAATATGAAGGACCGACTATGTTCCTTCGTTTGGTCTGGGAAGACTAGGCCGTTTGCACGATACGAATGAGGATTTTGAATTTTGCATCCGCCGCGGTTGCTAACCTGACGTCCTAGACCCATTTCGGCGGCGCAATTGTGTGTCTTCGCTGGACAAGAGGAGCCATATCACATGAAGAGCACTGCGGATTCTACTCTCCGGACCATGGACTTGAAACATTTGTCATTAATATTGTAGAGGGTGAGAGAACCAACGTTTCTGGACAATGACATTGATGTTTATCCCCGCGATCCCCGGCCAGCACTAGTTTGCTTTCCGTCACAGTATCTCCACAGAAGGGTAGGCGTATTGTCAATCTAGTTATATACGCCTCAGCCCCCCTTATCCCCTTAACGTTCACTTTTCCTACGTTCTTCCTCCACCATATCATTTGTTGGTTGTAGCTCCTTCCTCAGCCTTTTATCTTAAGTGCAGATTCAGTGCCGAACATCCTCGTCATCCGAGTATGCACAAGTCTATTTCAGCGTCCCAGTGGGGTACCCCTACAGCTTCCAGGCGGGCTCTGCTCATTCATGGTTTGACCATGTCCTCGCATTCATGGGAGGGCCTCGCTCAGCTATTAGTAGCAGAAGGTTAGTAATGCTACGGTAATGATGGTCTGTTTTAACAGCCTATTCAGGATTCTTTGTCGTGGCGCCCAATCTCCTTGGGCATGCATGGAGACGGAGCACTGACTATCGTGTGTCCACCCTTGCAGAGGACTTGCGATCGTATTTCGTCATGGACACGTCCTACGACGTGATTATAGGTCATTCTCTTGGAGGCACAACGACCTTGGCGCTCTTGCCATTCTTGCCCCGAACGAAAGAAACTACTGTCATACTCGTGGATCCCCCCCTCGATATCACAGAGGAGACAACCAACATGTATCGTGATATATTTCTGAATGAGGTTACGAATGTCAGAACCGCTGACGAACACATGGTCGAGAATCGTACTTGGTCACGACATGACTGCTTGTCAAGAGCGCTTGGAGCTTCCATGTGTGATCGCACTGTTATCGAGGGGACATTTAGGGTAATATTTCAAATGTTGACATGAGAAGAATTGCTGACCAGTTGTGTGGTTGTTATTAACAGGATAACAGTCCATGGTCTTTCAGCGGGCTGTTGAAAACGATCCCCCCTAACGTGAAGATCACCGTGCTAGCATCAGATCCAGAGCTCGGTGGTGTTTGTTATTTGGAGCAGATCCCTCGTGACGTGGAGAGATTGAAGGCTAGACTTCTTAATGGCATCGGTCACTGGATTCAATACGAGTGTCCCGATGCTATCATGGATGAAGTTCCGCTAGCAAGAGCAAAATTGTGAGCTAGGCGAGGAAGAGATGGATTATTGTGGTGTAGTTCTTGTATATACTGCATTCAATCATGTACTTGTTCTTGGTCTTCCCTCTAGATTGTGGTAGTTTCACAGCAATTCCAGAAGTATGATGCCATTCCCTCATTTAGTCGCCCCCGCTGGACAAGTTATCGTCGCCCGACAACACGAACTCGACACTCACTGATGGGTCATGTTTGCTTCACTACGCACACTCACCAAGCTTGGACACCCTGATACGCCGCTCGCTTCGCTCTCCTTTCTCTACAATACATGTCAAATCGCACGATCCCCGGCTGCCTGAGCCCCACATTCAAATGCAGAACCGTTCCCGTAATAGCGGCGATTCGTGGCATGAGCGATAGGTATATGTACTATTTTTGATCTAGTCTCCAGTGCCTTATGACCCAGTCAGACATGATCACGGCTTCCTACGCTCTTCCACACCATCCCGATTGTCGGTTCTAGCAGACCTTCCCTCAGCCTTTGAAGTCTGAGTGTCGAACCTCTTCGTTTCCTATACCTTCTCCGGCCTTCTCCGATCGCAAGATCTTGAATACATCCGAGCAGTCTGAGTATGCATACGTCCATGTCAGCGTCCCAGTGGGGTTCCCCCATCGCTTCCAAAGCGAGCCCTTCTCATTCATGGGATGACCTATGTCCTCGCATTCATGGGAAGGCCTCGCTCAGATATTGGCAGCAGAAGGTCATGTTTCGTTAGAGTACGGTGATGGTCATTTTAAACAGATTGATCAGGGTTTTTCGTCGTAGCACCGAATCTCCTTGGACACGCATGGAGACGGAGTACCGAATATCGTATATCCACCCTTGCAGAGGACCTGCGACCGTATTTCGTCATGGGCACGTCCTACGACGTAATTATAAGTCATTCTCTTGCGGGCCCAGTGGCCTTGTCACTCTTGCCATTCTCACCCAAAACGAAAGAACCCACTGTCATACTCCTCGATCCCTCCCTCGAGCTTACAGAGGAGATGGTCAAAGGTTTCTAAAGGAGATGGCGAATGTCAGAACTGCCGAAGAGCATATGGCTGAGAATCCTGCTGGGTCACGACGTGATTGTGTGTTAAGAGCGCTGGGAGTCACTATGTGCGATACCACTACTGTCGAGGTTTTTCGGGTAATGTTTCCGAGTCGAAATGAGAAGAAGGGAACGTCCGCTTGTGCATGCTTCGAACCCCTTCGAACCTTCCTCGGAGCTTGTGAAGTTATCCGCTTTTGTTACAAGCGAGGTCCATTTACACTGAAGTTATGGTTTACGTGTTAGGATTATAGAAGGAACGTGTTAGGAAGGATGAAGTTATGATTTACGTGTTAGGATTATGTCATGTGGCGACGCTTAGATCATACTTGTCATCTTCCAACCTTGGCAAACGACGAATACTAGGATCGCAGTGTTGTCCTCAATGCTCCTGACGAGAGGGCCGAGGAGGGTCCCCAACGACGACGAATTGGACCAACCGACTGAGTAAGGATACCCACCCTTCATCCTCCGACAATTGCTAAAGTCCGTGGCGGACTCCGTTTGGACGCGACGGCTGACGACGTCGTCTGTCTGTCTGTCTGAATCCAAGCTTCAAACATAGTGCCAGATTCGTACTGTAATGCATGTGTCCATGAAGTCGAGAAGATCACACTTGTGTAGACGAACTCGTTCGACATCGTGGCCGATTTTCGGAACACCATGGCGGCGGAGGTGGACGAAAAGACTCTACGAAGTCCGGATTCCTGTAAGTTACAAACATGACAACGGAACATTTACTAAACAACTATTGTAGAAGGAAGTATGCGAGTGTATTCTCCGGTCAGGAATAGTTTTTAAAATTCACTGATAAGTATGTCTTCGCGTCCTAGGCCTTCACATTCCTGCAATCCGCTGGAGGCGACCCCCACTGTAGTTTAACGCGCAAATATTGCGCAACCCATGTCAGAGCGAGAAGAACAGGAACCTCTACTAGCGGCCCAATTGTCGCTGCCAACGCCTGATCTGACCCCACCCCATACACGGCGATCGCTACCGCAATCGCAAGCTCCTACGCAATCCGCTGGTTCAATACATCATTCAATAAAGCGACCTGGAGATACGCACGAAATTGTTACTGCCTGCGGTAAAAGCCTGCACCACTGCCATTTCATACGCGAAATCACTATCTTTCGTATTTCCTTTGCGAACTTCTCGGCGAGCAAGGAAGAACACAAGTGCAAAGGCTGACGTCCACATGATGAAAAAGTACAGGATCATTGGAACGAATACCCGGAAAACAGGACCAAGATTCTGCACGATGTGATGCCCTTGGTATGCAAACATAACGATGATGGTGTACAGGAGACCGAGGAGAGCGAGAGGGGAAAATCGTGGCGCAAACGTATTATCAAAGAATTCCCTCGACTTCAATCGAATTACTGCGAAGCGCGTAATGACACCAGCAAGGAGAGGGATTCCAAGGTACTGTTGAACTGTTAACGCAATAATCATTCTGATACTCAGGCAACTCACGATGAGAACCGAAATCGCCACCGAACCGTAGGCGAGACGAATACCCTGTTCGCTGTGCCCAATGACGTTCACAAACAAGACCGCATATGGTGAGTAGAGCACGATTTGGAGCACCGAGTTAACAACGACGAGGATTGCACAATATTCGCCATCCCCACCGGCCAACTGATTCCACACCATCACCATGGCAATGCAACGAGCGAGCCCGACGAGGATCACGCCTGTCCTGTATGTCGGGAGGTCGGGAAGCGTGGCCCATGCAACACCGAGCATAATAAGGGGGCCGATGATCCAGTTCAATGTCATGCTGATTCCCATGTGTATCCACAGACGTCTGGACAACAGTATTCGC